CTTCAAGAATTCATTTCAATGGGTTGTCGATTTATATTCATGGATATTCAAAGAATATTATACAAAGCGTTTTTAAAGAATATTATTTGTGGACCATGATAATAGTGATTTTTTTAATAATGTTGAATGGAGGACCGTTATGGCGTCGATTGTTTAAAAGAATATATTTAGCATCACCATTAAATGCATAATATTTATAAAACCAGGGAGTGGAGTAGTATAGTCGGACAGGGTCGACCATATGATACCCTATACAACTACCATGAAAATCTAACTTTCTTCGGTTCTGGACAATATTTCGCGATATTTGCACCCTTTTGATCGATTTTCTAAATCTAGTTTTCCTAAGGTGAATATTTACGCCATAAAATAAAAAATTGGTCACTTTATGTTCTGGTTAATTAGATCCTCGAAATATTGACCGGCCATTATCTAAACAGTCCTTCTAAGTACCTCATAATATCCCCTTCATCGTGTAAAATGTGCGATGTTCTACATAAAATAATGGCCTCTAGAGCAACTGGAAAATCTGACAAAAATAAAGTTTTCGGTTCATTGCACCCCCTAAAGTAGGGTAATAGTAAAATTAAACTGTATCATAACACATAAATACCATTTAATATTTACGTACAACTCCAACATTCGAATATGGCTGTACGTATGTAAAGGTCAATCACTCCTCTTGGATATACTATCAATTTTTTCACATTTTTCACACAAAAATCTGGGTCCGTTTTACCCGCTAAATACTGATCGATCTTTATCAAAATAGTCACGCTTATACTTTGGCATGATCCCCTTCTCCACGGAGAATAATTTTGGTCTATTTCAACTCCTGAATATTACCGGATCATTACTAAAAACAATTGGGGCCTTCTTGGGCCAGAACCCATCCTACATGAGAAATTTCGTGAAGATTGGTTCATAACTGTGGCATGTATCTTGTTTAAAAAATAATATTGTACAGACGGGCGGACACACATGTGTAGTTCGATTTAGCCAATCGAGATATGACAAACGGTATACTCAAACTCTTGAGGCTGCACAAAACTATAATTCCCTGACAACATTGTTGTGTAAGACATAATATTTTTTAGAGGCATAGTATTTTTTAGTCATAATATTTTTTAGTCCGCACAGTGTAAGACTGGACCAAAATAGATGTAGTGGTTCAATCTTAATGAAACTTTGTACATACGGTGTGTGGGACTAAAGAATGTGTTTAAGTTCGATACATTGCTCACGGCAATATATATGATTGCCGAAGGCATTGTTTCCCGTTTTTCAGCATTTTACACAAAAACAATTGTTAATTTGGCCAGCTTTTTAAAATTTGGGGAAATCTTTTACATATCCACATAGAACTACGTTTATTAATCTAGTTCGGAGTTTAGCTGTTTCCTCCCCTCTTCTACTATATCTCCCGTATTCACATGTGCTATACCTATATTGCCTAAAGGCGCATTTTGACCTTTTGTGAAATGTGGTCGTAGTTGTTGATCACGACCTTGCTGTAGCTTGTTTGCCCATCGCAACATCACTTCCATACCCGATTTCGTAGAATAAACATCTCTCGCTATCGTCGTTAATGCACGCATAAGGTAAATTCTTGTTTCTAACGAAATCCATATACTTTACAATAAAGACTGAAAATGTTTACAAAACTCTATTTCGTTTTTCTTTTTTTTTATTTTTTGGTTTTCACAGCTTTGGTTAATATCGGTTCAGATTTGGATATAGCTCCCATATATATGTTTGTCTGATTTAATGAAAAAACTGCATTAAGATATTTATATTAAGTTTTGTTAAAATCGGTTCAGATTTAGATATAGCTCCCATGATTTTATATAAATGGTGCACTCACTCTATTTGCACGAAATGTTGAATAGATTATCTAATCGAGTCTTGAATGACGTGTTAGACTAAATTTTGCATATCGTGCCGTATTGAGATTCGAATGAACTGTAACGTTTTGTTAAAATCAGTTTAAATTTACGTTCTTGATTATCAATGCCAATTTGTTCATATTTATTAAGCTATATCTTCCTTATCACTATATTAATCGACAAAATTCTTTCTGATTCATGAATTTCTTAAGGATTTTTATAGTCATGCAATAAATTTTATAAAAATAAAATTCCCTCTTTTTATGTATACGTATCGACGCTAAGTATACGCCACCTTGTCTAATATTTGAATATCCCTTCTTTAGCGTATACGTGTGGATATAAAACATACGTCGCCCTGTCTATCATATAAATATCAATAAACTAATTGCACATCAGCTCAAATTTTGGTATGAAGAATATGGCATGGATTTTTTAAAGATTTTTTAATGCAATGAGGGTGATTCGTTTAAAGATTTTATTTCTATGACTATTTTTTGAAGAACTCTTTTTCGACAGATTAATTAGCTATAAGCACGAATTTGTATATTATCAATGTGCCAGTTTCAGTTTTCTCCACAAATTTTAAAATATTTGTTATTCCCATAGAAATTAAATAGAATCCATATTGCTAACAGTATGACGTTTTTTTAGAATATTTTTTGTAGGACAATTTGAACATGCATTTTTAAAGAATTTATTTTCAAGGACCTTCTAGCTATTACTGTATATATTTTCCAGTACTTATTTTTAAAGGATTATCGCTATAAGCAAAGAGTTTTTAAAATAAATTTTTGGAAGGTTATTATATGCGTGGATTGTTAGTGAATATTTTTTAGGGGACAGTTATATGATTCGATCTTTTGAAATATGCTTTGATTTTCAGCGCACATCTTATCTCTTGTATACGTGTCGGCCACTGTCGCCACTTTGCCTACCATTTCAATATTTCCACTTTAGTGTATACGTGTTGCAATAAAACTTATGCCACCTTGTCACCAAATAAATATCAATGAAATAATTTTATATCAGCATTTCGCGAGTTTTAATTGTTTGGATATTCCCATAAAAATTCAATAATAAAATTCGCAAATAAATAACCATAATATGTTGAAATGTTTAAAAGCCAAATAGCTAAGAGCTGGATGTGACATTTTTTAAGAATAATTTTATAGGATTATGCAAGCCGGTATTTTTTCAATAAATTATTTCGAAAGATTAACTAGTTATCACCATGGATTTTCAGCTACTTTTTTGAAGAGACTATCGAGACTAAGCATGAATTTGTAAAAAATATTTTTCAAATGATCAGCAAGGCTATAAGCGTTTAAACCCTTTTTTAAGGACCCCTAAAAGTGTCGATTTTTTAAATAATATTTTTTGACTACCATTTTACTGGCGTGAAATTTTTTAAGAATATGTTTGGAGGACCATTATAAGCGTGGATTTTATAAGGAATATTTATATATTTGAGTAGGTGTTTGCTTTTCTGGATATGGTGTGTAGAAAAGGTATGTAGGTATGTATGCATCCCCATATAATATAATGAAATTATTTTATATGAGTATTTGTTTCCAAATTTTCAATAGAATCTGCAAATATATAACAATTCTGTGTTAAAATGTTTAAAATCCAAATAGCTAAAAGCTTGGTGTGAATCAGTTAAAGAATACTTTTCATTGGCTTTTCAGAATATGGATTTTTAGAAAGAATTTATTTTTAAAGACTGCCCGAGTTATCGCCTTAGATTTTTTGATTAACTTATTTTCAAAGGATTATAGGTCTGTAATAATGATTTTTTTTATATTTTCATCGGACCAACAAGACTATAGCGTGGATAAAAAAATTATTTTTGGGGACAATTATAAGCTTGGATTCTGTAGTGAATATTATAGGCGGCAATTACCAGTGTGAATTTAAAAAAAAACATATTTTTGTGGCTATTATAAGCTTGGATTTCTTAAAAAATATATTTGAATTATAAGTGGTGATTTTGTAGTGAATATTTTTGGAGGAAGTTTATAAGCTTTGATTTTATAAGGAATATTTTTGAAGGGTCATTATCATCGCCGATTTTTTATATAAGTTTATATATAGAAATATATATATGTTATTATCGCTTTGTATAGTATACGTGTCGACAATCAACATACGCCACCTTGTACACCAGTTTAATATTTCCTCTTTAGCGTATACGTGTGGATATAAAACATACGTCACCCAGTCCACCAGTCACATATTAATCAATGGAATTATTTAATATCAGTTTTTCCCCAAATTTTAATTTTTTTTGTTATTGCCATAAAAGTAAACAATAGAATCCGCAAATAAATAACGATTATTATGTGTTAACATGCCTAAAAGCTATATAGCTAACAGGTTGTTCGCAGCATTAAATAACACTTATTGAGAAAAAAGTTTTTGGCTTTTGCTTTTCATTTTCATTTAAATGGCAAATATCATGCGCATCCTGTGATAAACTACCATTTTCACTTAAAAGTGTAAATTATCCATTTGATAATAGTTTTTCAATAGGTTTTCATTGCAAAAAAACCACACAACCCAACAAATGTATGGAATATTTAAATGTGAATCAAAAAAATATTTGAGTTTGTGGTTTTATTTTTGATTTTCCCGTTAATGTTTTTTTTATTGTAAACATTTTGGTTTTTATTTAGAATTTCTTTTATTTTGTCCAAACTATTGACAATTGAGTGGGGTATATTATGCATTTGTAATTTCAACAGCAGAATAGGTATTTGTGCGTGTTACCAGAGTTAAGTACTGTGGTTGCTCTATTTCAATAGAGGTTCCGGAACTATTGCAACGTTTCTAGGCAGCTTTAAATTATTTGCATGGATGGATAATCAAAATAAGTAAAAGGGTAACATTTGATAGATAATCGCCTATAGCCCATCATAACAAAAACAGCAAGTATACTAATTTCATGGTTATCTGCAAATTCCGTAGCCATTACTCTTAACTTCCGTTATCCTTTGTTTCATTTTTATTAAACACTACCAAAGAAAAAAACCAATATCATCTTAAATCATATGACCTTAATTACAAAAAACACAGCCTAAATGTATGCCATTGTACGGCACGTATAAAAACCTGTATCAATTTTCTTTAATACAAACAAGAACAACAATAACCCCACCATTTCCATTATCATATAAGAATGTCCCTTTGACATATGTATCCTTGTAGACATCCTATCTACATGTGTCGGCATTTCATTGTTATAGTCAATTTAGCGGAAAATGATACAAACCAAGCAAGGACTTAATTAATTTTTTTTTCATCTGACCTGTCATACGCTTTAATTTGCTACTAACCAAAGCTACATTTTGGATAGCCCATTTTCCCCAAAACGCACATACATCCTTACGACACATTCAAATGACATATGTATGTGAAATTAAGGCAGTAACCTACAGGTGGTTAAATAAATAGACAACTATTTATTTTGTAAACATTAAGATGTGTTTGGGTGTGTATGTGTGTGGGATATGTTAACCGACCGAAAATTTAATAAATATTATTTTTGCCCAGGAACACCCAGCATTCTCGCACACACACACATACACCGTTATATACTCACACTCATATATCTTACAACAGCATCCCATTGTTTATTTCCCACACACTAAATGCCTATAATGTCCTATTTACGACAAACTATGAAGGAACGCAGGGCATTTAATGAAGATATTTAGGCATTGTTCCAAAGGAATGTATTTTTGGAGAGAGCATATGTATTATACAAAGGGGTATTGAAAAGGAAGGGGTTTTTAATAAATATTAAGAAATAACTGGGAGATCTAAAAAAATTAAATTATGGACATTTTATAGAATTTGTTATTAAACGGTGGAGAAAATAAAGTATTTTTTGTAGAACCATTACAAGACCATTGTGATCGTAGATTTTTTTAATCAATAATATTTGAAGGACAGTTACATTTGGAGGTTCATTATAAATAAGATTTTTTGAAGGACAATTTCATGCGTAGATTTTTAAAAAATTACTTTTAGGGACCATAATAATAGTACATTTTCAACGATCGTACATTTTCAGCGTGATGTATTTTAAAAATAATTTTTCAAATGACAATCATAAACGAAAGTTTTTAAAGTATATCATTCAAAGGTCTATCAAAAGAGTGGATTTTTTAAATAATATTTATGGAGGCCATTTATAATCGTAAATATTTTAAGAAATAAATTTTGAAGGGCAATTACATGTGTAAATATTTTAAAAAAATATATATTTTTTGTGAACAGAACAATCATAAGCGTAATTTTTTTTTAAAGAAGGATGGATTTTATTAAGATTATTTTTGGTGGACCATTATAAGCGTCGATTTTTAAAGAAAACCATTTTAAGCTTGGATTTTTAAAGAATAATTTGGGCCCATTTTTATCGTTGATTTTTTAAAGAATAAATTTGAAGGACATTAAAAAAAAATTATTTAAAGAACCATGGTAATCGTACATTTTTCAAGAATAAATTTTCAAGGACTAATATGAAGTGGAAGTTTTTTAAATAGTTTTCAAAAGTCAATCATACGTGTGGATTTTGGAAAGAAAATTTTTGGGAATTGGATTTTTTAAGGAATCGTAGATTTTTGAAGTAATGTTTTTGGGAGGAACATTATAAGCCTCGATTTTTTAAAGAATATTTTTCAAAGGACCATCACCATAAGCGGGGACATTTTAAGGAATATTTTTTCATAATTAATAATAATAATTTTTAAGAACTAATAGAAACGTCGATTTTTTAAAAGCATATTTTTACAAGGACTTATATAAGCGTGGATTTTTTAAAGAACTTTGTTCAAGCATAACCATAGGCTTGGATTTTTAAATAATGTTTTTGTAGGATTTTGTATGCCTGGATATTTTAAAGAATATTTGTCAAAAGAATATTATAAGTGTAAATTTTTAACATACGTATATTTTCAAATAATATTTTTTGGGGACCATTATAATTGTATATTTAAACCAGTAAGGCCGACTATATGATACCCTTCACCACTTTATGTATATTGTACATATGGAACTAAACACACATCACTCTAGACTTAATTCAGTACGCTATGCCGAATTTCGAGCAAATCGAATGATATATAGGTACTTTGGTGCTCTATTTACCTTAAATCGGACGAAAATATATATGTGAGCTATATCAAAATCTGAACCGATTGTCAGAAATTTCCTTTGGTACACCATTTACCTTAAATCGGACGAAAATATATATGGGAGCTATATCTAAATCTGAACCGATTTTCTCGGACTTAATTGAGTACGCTATGACAAATTTCGTGGAAATCAAAGGATATATTGGGAATTTGATGCATCATTTACTTAAATTCGGACGAAAATATATATGGGAGCTATATCTAAATCTGAACCGATTTTCAAAAAATTTAGCACACATCGTTCTAAGCTTAATTCAGTACGTTATGCCAAATTTCGAGCAAATCGAAGGATATATAGGAACTTTGGTGCACCATTTGCATAAAATCGGACGAAAATATATGGGAGCTATATCTATATCTGAACCGATTTTCACGAAGCTTAAAGAATACACACATCATTCTGGACCTAATTCAGTACCCTATGCAACATTTCGTACAAATCAAAATTTATATAGGGACTTTGGCTTAATTCAGTACGTTATGCCAAATTTCGAGCAAATCGAAGGATATATAGGGACTTTGGTGCACCATTTGCATAAAATCGGACAAAAATATATATGGGAGCTATATCTATATCTGAACCGATTTTCACGAAGCTTAAAGAATACACACATCATTCTGGATCTAATTCAGTACCCAATGCAAAATTTCGTACAAATCAAAATGTATATAGGGACTTTGGTTCACCATTTACATAAAATCGGCCAAAATTGTATATGGGAGCTATAACTAATTCTGAACCGATTTTCACGAAACTTGGCATCGTTCTGGACCTAATTCTGTACACTATGCCAAATTTCGAGACATGTAGGGACTTTGGTGCCTATATCGGACGAAAATACATATGGGAGCTATATCTAAATCTGAACCGATTTTTACCGATTTCAATAGGGTTCGTTCTTAGGCCAAATAAGTTACTTGTGCCAAATTTCATCTAAATCGGATCATAAATGCGACCTGTACTTTGTTTACAATTTAACATCTACAGACGGACGGACATGCATAAATCGACTCAGATTCTATGCATATTCTCAAAAGGAACCATGTGTCTTTATCGTTTCCTTTTGCCTGTTACAAACATATGCACAAAGACATAACACCCTGCGCCACAGTGTGGTAAAGGGTATAAAAATATTTTTTTAAGAACTGTAATACATCTGGAATATTTTAAGGACAATCATAAGCGTGAACTTTTGAAAGAATGCGCAAATATTATGAAAAATCTACACTTATAATGGTCCTTAAAAATATGTTTAAAAAATTTATTTTTGTAGATTATTTTTTTACACAATATTTTTGAACTGTATAAGGTGTAGATTTTTTGGATTTTATTAGACTGTTGTAATGGCCATTATAATTGTGTATATAATTATTAGTAAGTATGGATGTTTAAAGAATATTTTTTAGAAAACGTTACTAAGTGTGGATTTTAAAATAAAATATTTTTTGGAAGCTCTCTTTAGCATGAATTTAAAAAAAAACATATTTGAGAGATTTTTAAAGAATTTATTTCCAAAGGACCATCACAGCCATTACAGTTGTTTTTTAAAGACTGTTAAAAAAACTTAAGAGTGGATTTTTATACCCTACGCAATTATGTTGTAAGAATATTAAAGCTTTGTGTGGCCCCAAGAGTATGTAACTCCGCGAGATATTGATCCCACCTTTTAATATACCGGTACCCATATCTCGACTAGCTGAGTCGATCTAGTCACGTGTGTCCGTCCGTATTTAGTAAATTTATATTCTATGGAGTATCCTGACGTATATACTCCAGAGAAGTTTATAGCATATCCAAGAGGAGTGGTTTAGCTTTTAATTGATACCAATTATATTATTGTATGAACTCAAATTATTATAGGGGTGTACCTATTCCGATATTGTCTAGAGGTCGGAATTGTGACGCTGATGGTTAGGATTTTTTTCATTAGGTTTCGGTTATACCCCAAAGCGACGACTATAATTTTTGACCATAATATTTAGGTGATGAATATATTACAAGCCGAATATCACAAATATTCCATTGGGTGGCAATCAGTCTAACTAATTTGTATGTCGGGTAAATTGAACAAAAACTTTCGGAAAAACATGATTCGGAAGATATGCCAAAACTACCTTCATATCCCAATCAGTTCACCCAAAATACAAATGGTACCAAATTAAGTAAATATGTACGAATTCACAAAACTTCATACATAACTCAATTCTAAACTCCAACATTAATTGTTACTTCTCAACATGAACTCGCATTCCAAATTGTATCAAAATTAGTACATATTTCGGATACTTATAGTTTGAATTGACCGCTAGAGTTCTAGCTCTACCGGTTCGCCAAATACAAATGGTACCAAATTTAGTACTTTTCGTAGCATTTTATCTGACACTTTTAGACCAAGAGTGACCGGCATCGCAAATTTCAAGATTCTAGCTTTAGCCGTTACGTCTGGGCGTTCTGTCAGTCAGTCAATCACTTTTCTCTTTTAGTGGTATCGATATCGTAAAGAATTGGTAGAGATTTTTTTGTGGCGTCTCCTCCCGATAACCCTTTTTCTAATCATAATTTGCTGTCTAGCCTCATTTCCTTTTATCATTTTCGACATGTGTGGACTGACCATGGAAGCCATAGTTATTAACAAAGACGACACATCCTTTGTGTCGTCCACAATTTCCTCTGTATCACCCGGGCAAAACCATTTCACATTTGGCTCCTTTCTGTAATTATTTACAGTAAACAGAAATGTCACGGTGTGTTAGTGTGCGTGGGTGTATGAGACTTTAGTTGTCTCGGACAACAGATAGGCCAACATTTCTAAAAGCCAGTCAAACACAAAATAATTCTGTGGTATGCCACAACCAACACCAACCACTCGTTTCACAGTAGCTATCCACACTTTTCACAGTAACATGATTTTATCAGT